GCTAACTGATCAGCTTAGCTAATTTAACCGGTTAACTAAATTAGCTTAGCTAATTAGCTGGCGGCTTAACCGGTTAATTTAGGTTAGCTCAGCTAATTAGCTAACGGCTAACTGGCTAATTTTTTAAAGCTATATAATGATTTATTATTCACGGACAGGTTAAAAAATAATAATTTTGATGTTGCTTTTATGACAAACAATAATAGAATAATTTATTAGGTTAAATAATATTTTACATTTTATTTATAAAAATGGCTTTTAAATTAATTGTAAAATTTTTTTTCAGTTATATTTCTATTTTGGTAAAGGAAAATTAATAAATTTGCATTTTCGGGAAGTAAGCAGTTCCGTTTAGAGCTTATAATATTTCCGGCTGAGGTGCCAGATGACAGGTGACAGATGTCAAGTTGACAGATGACAAATAGCTGATGACAAATGACATGTGACAGATAAAAGGTGACAGATATGAAAGATGAAAATTGACATATGACACAACACAGCTGAAAGGTGAAAGGTGACAGATGAAAGACGAAATGTGACAGATGACAATTGACAGATTACAGGTGTCATTTGCCACCTGTCATCTGTTATTTGCCACCTGTCATCTAAACGGAATTTTCGTATACCAAAATAGATTTATAACTGAAAAAAAATTAACAATTAATTTAAAAGCCATTTTTATAAATAAAATGTAAAATATTATTTATCCTAATAAATTACTCTATTATTGTTTGTCATAAAAGCAACATAAATATTATTATTTTTTTAACCTGTCCACGAATAAGAAATCATTATATAGCTTAAAGAAAATTAGCCGGTTAGCTGTTAGCTAATTAGCTGAGCTAAGCTAAATTAACCGGTTAAGCCGCCAGCTAATTAGCTAAGCTAATTTAGTTAACCGGTTAAATTAGTTAAGCTGATCAGTTAGCTAGCTAATTAACTTAGCTAACTTTTTTGGCCGGCTTAACCGGCTAAATTGTACAGCACTACAATATTTTTAACATCGAAATTGAAGTGGTTCTATTGGTTATTAATTTAAATTAAACCAATTTTACTAAAAATTAAATATGCAAAGAATGTAATTTAATTTTTGGATAAGTAAGAATTCCTTTTTGTCAAAAATAGTCATACTTTTGCTAACAATTCCCTAAAATTATAAATGTGTGATTTGTAATAAGTCTAATTATTGCATTAAACATTCACGGTGTGCTTTTTTCAAATTCTTTATCTGCATGACCTAGAATTATTTTAACAATAAAAATTAAAATCTTCGGCGGAGCCGTTTTTGAGAAATTCACTTTTGATTTTTTTTCTGCAAAATGTAGAAAAATAAATACAAATATTTAAATAAACGTTTCAAAAAATTAATTTGAGGTGATCTTACATATTTATCAACTAAAAGTATTCATAATATGTAAAAACTTTAAGTCACTCGTTTTGCTCTCTTTTGTTTCTCATCATCAGACAAAATGGGTAGCTTCAGTTCCATTCTTCCAGAACCATGTTATGCTTTATATATTTTAATCTTGCAGGAACTACATAAGGCTGCAGGAAAACTTTTTTCCTCAACATCATAATCCGCAAATAGACTTAAAACAACAAGTTTTAATTTGTCTTTAATTGGAAACATGGCTTTTTCTTTTTAAAACAGAACAAACCAACTTTAAATCTATTTACACTATGCGTTAATGCATGATCTTTAGACATTTTTGCGGTAAAAGTTTATCGTAGTTAGTGATTAAAAGTTTTTACATATTATGAAGACTTTTAGTTGATAAATATGTAAGATCACCTCAAATTAATTTTTTGAAACGTTTATTAAAATATTTGTATTTATTTTTCTACATTTTGCAGAAAAAAAAATCAAAAGTAATTTCTAGGTCATGCAGATACATAATTTAAAAAAATCTCAGATGTGCAGAAGTTCATGGGTTGAATCAGTGCTAAGCAAACCGTGCATTTTAGGCATTAGCCTTTGGTTTCCAATAAAGATATTTACTACTACATTTTAGAGTTCAATAATTTACTGAGTCATTGTATGAAATCTGAAAATACCTAAAGGTATACAATAAGTCAGTATGTATTACAAAATTATTTTTTATAGTTATAATAATTTTTATTATATAATATACATGAACTGTTTTTTAAAAGGTTGTTTTCTAATAAGAACCAATAAGTATTGTTTTTTAAGAATTTATCAAACATTTTGATGGTACTTAATAGTTTTTAGACTTAAATTGCATTTTTATTAAGGAATCTTAAAATACCTACAATGATTGTTATTATGTAGCACAAAATTTTGAAAATTATCAATTGAATGTCATACTTTTTGATAAATCATACCTAAATAATTATAAATTATTAAACATGTTTGATAAACCTTTTTTTTTAATTTCACTAAAAGTTATATAGAGTAATTAACTTTGAATTTCTCTTCAATAAATATTATTTGTTGGTTATACTTTAATTTAAAACTGAATTAAGTGTATATTTTGTTAAATATATTTATTAAAAAAATACCCCGGTTTCCAGGACTACTAGATGTAAAAATCAACCAATACCTGTTGCCCCTTTTGCCTACAGCGCTTTTAATTCTCTTATGTTCTGTGCCTTAGTGTATGCATGACTGGTTTTAATAACATTTATTTTATAAAGTAAATTAATTGTTTGCAAATAAAAAAAAACAGGAAAAATTTTAAGTTACCTTCGATATTTTTTACTTGGAATTAGTTTTTGTAGTGTACACACTGTACACTATAATAAGTGGACAAGTAAGAAGCGCATGTGCAGATGGTAGTTTACTGCGAGACATGAGATAGACATGTACTACTTTTGTGTAGATGTACTAAATTAAATAATGTAATAAAGCTAGTCAAATAAAACCAGTATTTCAATAATTAACATTACATGAACACAATACAAAACAGTTTGAGGAGATAAAATAACTTTTTGATTTAAAATTTTTATGGAACATTATAGTTTTAGTTATTTTAAATTAAATTGATTCACCACAATAAAACATAATACAATTATAAGATTCTGTACAAAAAAATCTGAAAATAGAATAAACATGTTTTTCTTGAACGGATGACCTATTTGCATTTTGTTCTTGAATAATTGGTTGTGATAGGTGAAATATAACAATACATTTTTTAAGTTTATATCGGTTTTTGCTCGACCATTTTAAAGGGAATTTATGGGCGTTTTTTGTATATGAGGCGCTTTACGATACTTAGGTCAAAATAAGCCAAAAATACATTTATCGGCTTTTGCATGTTTGTTCCACATTTATTGAAAACGTTCGTACAATATAATTGATATTTATTGTAAAAATATCACCATTACATTATATATCACGTTTTTTTCGCAAATGGGAGATTTTTCTGATGTTCATGTACCGCCAAAAACAATGCTTGCTTTTGCTCTTCACTTTTAGAGTGAAGATTGTTGAGCAAGTGCCACTCCACGTTCTGTGATATCATTGACAACTTTCAAATGAACTATGAGTAATTTTATTTTTTTGTAGTAAGTATAAGTAAGTTTGCAACTTTCCTGATTATATTTCCATCCATAGCATGTGCAGTCTACATCGATAAAAAATAAACACAAGTTATTTGTTTATTAAAAACTTTAAATGCATCCCTATAAACAAGTGCGCATATTTCAAATATGAATAAAATCATCGGCAAAGCTGTGATTTCAGGTAACTCCATGTCCCCTCAATGTCATTCAATGTGATTAAATGAACAGAATGTTAAAATTTTACAATTTGCAAATTCGACACGACGCTTCGTGACGCGTCGTATTAGATAATTTTGATCTTTTAACCAGTTAAGGTTAAAAAAACAATCCTACGTCTTATTGATGGGTTTTTCGGAATCTGCCCTTTTAAAGAATTTATTGATCTTCTAGGTAACACAAGCAAAATTCCATGTTTTTTTAATTTTCCCTAGTCATTAAAAGTTTTTTTTCGTAATACTTGAACGCCCTCTTTTACAAATAAAATTGGCTTTAAACTATAAAAACATTTTCTATATAAAATATATATAATGCGTTTTAAAAAGACGGTTTATTTGGTGTTTTCCGTTGCCTATAGGCAAAGTTTTTTATGTCATAATTAAGATTATAATCTTAATTATGACATAAAAAACTTTAGACCGTATTCATCATTGAGTGTAAAAACTGTATTTTTAAACTAGTTGATAAATAGGTTGAGAAATGCTTCCTAAGGAAGCTACAGACCCCAAAAAAGGAGCCCCTGATAATGGTTTTTATTTAATATCTATAAAACCGTTAAAGATAGAAAAATGCAATTTTGAGAATTGATTAAACTCCCTGTTACATTGGCTGCCTTCCTAAACATGGCAGCCATGTTCCATGGCCCAAGCTGAATCTTTTTCTCTAGTTGTGATTTTATTATGAATTTTTATGCCATGTAAGGTAATTTTCAAATCGATTTTAAGCGAAAATTGTAAATATTATCGAAGTTCAACAAGAGGACCTTTTTTGTGTGTAAACTTCCAAAATAAATTAATCTGACATCAAATCCTAGGACAAGACACATACAAAAAAGTTAGGGTGGTTTTACACTTACTCCCTATCCATCTGACCCACCTCTCATGGAAAATTTGAAATTGTTATTATTACATCTTATTGGTCATAAAAAGTTTATCAATTCCCAAAAGTGTCTATCTTGAACGGTTTTGTAGATATTAAATAAAAACCATCTTCAGGGGCTCCTCTTTTGGGGGCTGTAGATTCCTTAGAAGGCATTTTTGAAGCTATGTTTATAGACATTTTTTTCTTGTTTTTGTATGTAGAATCTCCTGTTAAAGTATTGCATGTTAATTATGGGACACCCTGTATATACATTACTATTTTTGTTTAATATAAATATTGTAATATAACTTATATTCTAATGAAAACCCTAAGTATAATTAAAATTTATAATAAAAAAATTAAAAATACATACATACATACATAAATACATTAAAACATACCTAGTTGATTTTTCATTTGTAGAGAGACCGAATTTATGTGTGCTTTAGAAGTATAAATTTTATTTATAGCTTTTCTTGCTCTAATAATTTCTTTTGCCAATATTGTACAGGTATCTTTATCATTTTTCTTTGCTGCTTCCTTTAAAGACCTTTTGATTTTTTCTTCTTCACGCTGTATGGCTAAAAAATTAGTAATAATACTTTTATGTTTATTTAAATACCAGAGCTTTTATATTGAGTTTTATTTTTCAATAATATATGAACTAACCATGGCTGTTCTTTGCAAACTAGAGTACAGTGTACTTAGTATTGAGTCAGTACACAATCAGATCTAATATTAATGTCACATTTAAATATTGCTGCACTAACCCAGGAAGTTGGTGCAGACCTAACAAATTAGGCTATACAATTTATATAAAGATTGTAACAATTTTAAAATTAAAGGCGTATTTACCCACTGGGAAAGAAACCTTACATAATATTGCTGCAATGTTCGCCGACTGTACAAATAAAATATTTCCTGTGCTACTTGCATTAACATAAATGAAATGTTACATTTGAAATATTGCATATAATAATTTCCAACAACCTTAAATTTGAAACATTATTTAAAGATTCACATGGAAAGTTTTCACAATGTTATATTTGTAACTTTTAGTATAAAATGTTGCATAAAAGTTTTTAAACATTACAATTATAATATTGCAGACATAAATTTTTTTCAATGTTTCAATTAAAATATTAACACAAGTTTCAAATGAAAAATGTTTGCAACTTTACTTTAAATATACAATAGAAACATTTATTTTGGAATGTTTGGGAATATTTTTAAAACATTGCAATTATAATATTACATTGATAAGTTTTGGGCAATGTTTCATCCGAAATATTACATTAAGATGATTTTTGCAATGTTACTTTATATAAACAATATAAACATTTAATTTGCAAGATTTTTGGAACATTGCAATTATAATATTACATTGATAAGTTTTTGGCAATGTTTCATCCGAAATAATACAATAATATGATTTTGCAATGTTACTTTATATAAACAATTTAAACATTTAATTTGCAAGATTTTTGAAACATTGCAATTATAATATTACATTGATAAGTTTTGGGCAATGTTTCATCTTAAATATTACATTAAGATGATTTTTAAAATGTTGCTTTATATAAACAATATAAACATTTAATTTGCAAGATTTATGGAACATTGTAACTATAATATAACATTTAAAATTATAACTTTAGTTTTGGACTATGTTTCATCCGAAATATTGCATTAAGATAATTTTTGCAATGTTGTTTGCAGACTGACTTGCCGATGCATCTCGCCGCTGTCTTGGTCATTTATATCTTTATAATTGAACATTGCCGAGCTTGATGCGTGTCTCCCGTCTCCGACTGCCTGACACTGATGAGACCAAACAGGTCGAAACAGTCTGTCTGTCAGTGTTGGTGGGTATGGTGCATTAGTCATTGGACCATACCATTCGGGAGACGCGTTTCGAGCTCGGCTCGTTGGCGAGATGGGAAGGCATTTCAGTCTTTGCAATATTGGTTGCCTACTACTGGCGTAAAGTAGTAAACCTATTGTTTCTATATATATATATTAGGGTGGGCCAAAAAAAAACTTTTAATTTTTTTTCTTTAGGTACCTTGAAAATATCGTCCAGGATGACGAAAAAAAAATTCTGATAAAGTTTCAGCTCTTAATATTAATATTAAGAGGTGGCTCATCGCGATTTTTTATTTTCCATTTAAATAACACAGAAAAAATTCATTTTTTTGTTTTTAATTTTATTGCGTTTAAACAAATCAGTGAGTTGTATAACTCAATACATATTCTTGTAGGGAATTGAACGATCTACAAAAAAGATCTGATATGATTTTTTGCTTAGTTGACTCGTTTAAAAGTTATTTGAGATTAAAGTTCAACCTCAAATAGTAAATGATGACTTTTAAAGTTTTTCATACTCTAGATTATGCTATTACGAAAAAATGGCTCAAAAACATGAAATATCATATTTTTCGTGAAGTTTATCGAGTATTCTTTGGTAAAACAATACAATTTTTACGAAATATCAATAATCGTGAAAAAACGGTTTTTTCATATATATAATTTTTTTTTAAATTCGAATTTTTTTCTTTACCTGAGTAATGAAAAAAAATCATTTTCTAAAAAAATAATAAATATTCTATTTACACTTGACTATTAGGTAATGTAGAGTAATAAAAGCCATGTTTCAATAATTTTTCAATAAAAATAAAAAATGTTATTCCATAACTTGTACTTTTTCACTAGAATCAAACTAAATTTTTCTTGTTACAATTGGGATATTTTTGCCGGTGGTTTTTAACTACTCGCAATAAGTATCAAATATACATATATATTTAATATATTTGATTTACCCATTGACTTTATCAATAAGAATGGAGAATTTTTGACACAGGATGAAAACTATCAAGATAATCTAGTATTTTTTAAACGTCTTAGCGTTCTCAATGATGTAGCAAAAAGAGGAGTTGCATTAATAGAAGATTACAACAAATGTTTGATTCTAAGATAGTGAAAAAAGTACAAGTTATGGAATAACATTTTTTATTTTAATTGATAAATTATTGAAACATGGCTTTTATTACCTAATAGTCAAGTGTAAATAGAATATTTATTATTTTAGATTTTTTTTTAAATCAACTTTAGAAATATTACGATTATTGATATTTCGTAAAAATTGTATTGTTTTACCGAAGAACACTCGATAAACTTCAAGAAAAATATGATACTTCATGTTTTTTAGCCAATATTTCGTAATAGAGTATGAAAAACTATAAAAGTCATCATTTAGGTTGAACTTTAACCTCAAATAACTTTTAAACGAGTCGACTAAGCAAAAAATCATGTCAGATCTTTTTTGTAGATCGTTCAATTCCCTACAAGAATATGTATTGAGTTATACAACTCACTGATTCGTTTAAACGCAATAAAATTAAAAACAAAAAAATGAATTTTTTCTGTGTTATTTAAATGGAAAATAAAAAATCGCGATGAGCCACCTCTTAATATTAATATTAAGAGCTCAAACTTTATCAGAATTTTTTTTTCGCCATCCTGGACGATATTTTCAAGGTACCTAAAGAAAAAAAATTAAAAGTTCTTTTTGGCCCACCCTAATATATATATATATATATTTATTTGTTGCAATGTTCCTGTTGCAGCTGCAACATTGCCACAAGGATTTTTGTAACATTACACCTTACAAATGTAATGTTACATGAACCTTACATTAACAAAAATTACATTTAGTAACATTGCAATTAATACACCCGGACAACATTCGTGATATTCATACGAACATCATGTCGTGATTTTCACAAATTTTATTCATACTGATATCATACGGAAGTCACCGCGTGATAAATGAAAATCATACGAACGTCACGTCGTGATTTTCACAAATTTTATTCATACGGACATCATCCGGATGTCACTGCGTGGGAAATGAAAATCATGTCCTGATTTTTTATGCCATCGCTGTTTGCGATTGACCGATGGCACAAAAAATCATGTCGTGATTGTTTATGCCAACGGTGTTTGGATAATCATTTTTGCGCTACGTTCGTACACTAAGAGAAAAATTTTGATGAATCAACAGTTTTTGCGGTTAAATACATTCAATATTTTCTTGGATTTAAATTAACTATATATAGTTAATTTAATAGTTAACTATATACAGGGTGTTTCTTTTAACTTGAGACAGCTCAATATCTAATGTCTTAAATAAAAGGTTGATGTGACTAAAGGAGACATTATTTGGTGCTACCGCTAGCCACCCCCTACCCCTCCTTAAGGGTGAAACGGGGGGTAACTTTGGAAAGTCAAATGGAATGACCCGATTTTTTTCACAGAGTTTGGTAGTACATAAAAAAATAAATAACTTTTATTTAAAACTTTTTTCAATTTATCAACAGATAATTCGCTGTAATTCAAAATTTAAGAAAAATGAGTTTCCTTGTAAAATGTATTATTTGAAACGTTTGAAAAACAAAAATTAACATTAACAACAATAGTCGGCTATGAAAACAATTTATAACAAATGTTCGAAATGTCGTCATTCCAATTCAACACATTTTTGAATGCGGGTAATGAATTCTGGCACACAACGCGTTCCTGATCCGCTCCACCATGTCCTCCCAAGTTGTAGGAATTGCAGCGTAAACTTTTTCTTTCAAGTAACCCCACTGGAAGAAGTCTGGTGGCGTAAGATCAGGTGATCGAGCAGGCCAAACTACTGGACCACGTCTACCGATCCACCGCGGTGCACCGGCCATTGAACTCCCGATCCAACACCTCTCGAGCAATTGTCGAATAATGTTCAGGACAACCATCTTGCTGGTACCACATGTTTTGGAGCCGTGCTAGTGGTACATCCTCCAAAAGGTCCGTCAGATCGTTTTCTAGAAAATTCCGCTACTTTTCGCCATTTAATAAAGAAGGGTCCGATTAATCGTTCGCTTAAGGTACCGCACCAAACGTTTACCGACCAGGGACGCTGGTGCTCCACTTGGTGTCGAAATGGAAGGACGACATTTCGAACATTTGTTATAAATTGTTTTCAGAGCCGACTATTGTTGATTTAATGTTAATTTTTGTTTTTCAAACGTTTCAAATAATACATTTTACAAGGAAACCCCTTTTTCTTAAATTTTGAATTACAGCGCCATCTGTTGATAAATTGAAAAAAACTTTCAAATATAAGTTATTCATTTTTTTATGTACTACCAAACTCTGTGAAAAAAATCGGGTCATTCCATTTGACTTTCCAAAGTTACCCCCCGTTTCACCCTTAAGGAGGGGTAGGGGGTGGCTAGCGGTAGCACCAAATAATGTCCCCTTTGGTCACATTAACCTTTTATTTAAGACATTAGATATTGAGCTGTCTCAAGTTAAAAGAAACACCCTGTATATAGTTAACTATTAAATTAACTATATATAGTTAATTTAAATCCAAGAAAATATTGAATGTATTTAACCGCAAAAACTGTTGATTCATCATAATTTTTCTCTTAGTGTACGAACGTAGCGCAAAAATGATTATCCAAACACCGTTGGCAAAAACAATCACGACATGATTTTTTGTGCCATCGGTCAATCTCAAACAGTGATGGCATAA